TGAAAAACTGAAATTGTTCAAAACAAATAAAGCCCAGATGGCTCGAGCGTGCTCATCCTCTCGTCAGTTTTCGCTCTGCAGCGCAAAAAAAGCACCTACCATGTGCTTTTCAGGCCAGTGTTTTTAGATGAAAGCGCAATTAAATGAGACTTTAGCACTAGCAGCCACTCGGTGTCAATCACCAGGCAGAATGTGGGGCATGGAGCCCACCCGGGAGCCTTAGACAAAAAGTTTATTATGCTTTTTTTTAAATTAATTTGGCGTTGTTAGAATGTTTTTTTTATTTTTTTTTTCTGGCTTTTTTTCTCCATTGATTCTGTTCTGCTTGTGTACGTAGGCTGCTGTGCCCAAGCTGCCAACCATAATGGATTTAAGGACGTTTTAGAAACTGCCGAAATGCTGCAGTTGGCATATTGACTGTTTTCATTCAGGTTCTGAAAATAGACGAAAGCGGTCATTTCACAGTTATTATAATATTTTATTTCAGCAATATGGTTTGACGTCTGATTCTCCACACAGTCCACAGCTTGTGTAGCTTTCATTTGGATATTTTTGATTGCTGCTTCTAGGGGTTTAAATCCTACACGCTTTGGCTGTAACATTTGACTCAGACTCAGGGTTTTATATGCTGCTCTTTCTACCATCGTCCCTTATTATTATGGCTGAGTGAAATTAGATTTATAAAGTTTGCAGAATTGTTGGACCTCAAGTTCAAAGGGTTGTCTGACTGCAAATGGCCTGCTGTGTGTTTGCCATGTTCTGTTCTTAGCTAAGAGCACACTTTTGGATAATAATGTGTGCTTGTTGAGGTTGTTTTACTGTTGGAGTGGTGTGTGCTGTCATGTCCCTCACGGGGGATCTTCATGAGCTCTTCTACTGCCTAAAGCCCACAAGAGGTTTGTTGTTTTGTTCTCTAGATGGCGATCATTGATGGCATCATTTTAAAGTGCACAAAAGAAAAAAGCACCAAGAGCCTCTTCATGACGCAGGTCAGCAGGGATCTGTATCAGTAACTCTTAGCTGTTTACTGTTTGCAAGGCTGTTATTTGCTTCTTGTACTGTTAAAGCTGCAGGTGCAGTAACCGGCCTAGAAAAGCTGCCTAAGTATCCGTGGTTTAGTAGCAATTTAGCCAGCCAATATCAGTGGCTTATCAGGCTGTGTGGTTTTATCAGTATTTCAGTCTATGTCTGCATATATAGGGGTGGGCAATATGACTACAGTCATCAATATGTTGTTCTAAGCGTATCGTTAATACTTATGAAGAATTTTGTTATGGTCAAAAAAGATGGGGTCTATTAGTTCTTCTTTTTAGCACTGCTGATGCTTGTCTTTTGTCTGTGCTCCAACTTATAAAACCTCAGAAAAGCTACATATCAGAATGTATATCATGTGAAAATGTGTTAAAGTTTCGTGATGTTATGTTTTTGCCCTATGAACATCCTTAGATGCACAATATGAATAAAATAACATATTGCGATTATATTGCTATGTTTTGCAATTGTGATACATGTTAAGAGATGTTAAAAACACTGGTGAACCTTGCAGCCTGCTCTGATATCAGTCCTGCAAAGGCCGATAAGGATAGATTGTGCAGTACTAGTGCACTGTGCTTTCTTCAGTGTTTCCTGAGAAACTGTTGCTTATGTCTTAGTGTGCTATGTGCTTGAGTGTGTTAAATTCATTCTGTGATGTAGTTTATAGTTCAGCTCTACTGAGGTGTTTCAGACATACTTTTTAGGGCACCCCTCTGTATCTGTTAACTTCTTTAAAGCTTTACTCTTTTTGGCTACTTCTGTGTGTTATTTCAGTATAAATGTTTACTGAAACATTTTTCATATGTGGACAATAACATGAAGAAAAGTCTAGTCATGATGTGATTGAGCCAAGTTACACCCACTCCTTTGACCCATACGGATTGTCGCTGCTGTAAGAAGACCTTGTAACCCTGTGGAATTTATTTATTTTTTTAATACAGTTCTTTTCAGAATTCTCAGTTTAAACTATCATTACGTGCAAGTAAATCATTTTAGAGCATCAGAGAAAGACACACAAACACACATTTTGTAAGCCACTTATCCTTCTGGGTTGCAGGGAGAGCTGGAGCCTATCCCAGCAGTCATTGGGTGGAAGGCAGGAGGGGAAAAAAACAGAAAACATTTAAAAGAAAATTACACAGAAACTTCAACCACTACTTTTTTTCTTCCTGAATTTAGTCTGTCCACCCTTTGCCTTCATTACAGCTTCCTTTCTTCTTAATACCTTTTATGGGAATGTTTTCCACACCACCAAAGTTCAGTCTTACACATTGGTTGCGTTTTCTGCTTCTTATGATCCAAGTAATCCAAACAAATTCAATAATGTTGGGGACTCTGTGGGGTGGTCAGTCCATTGTTTTGAGAACACCGGCAGCTTCTTTGATATGCCAACTTTTTTGTCTATTTAATTTTCTCAGTAAGGGCTTCTTGACAGCTACACATCCTTTCAGACTCATAGTGTTGAGTTGTCTTCTTGGAAGGATGGACAAACCCCTGTGGATTTTTTCCTGAAGCAAGAGTGCAGCTTGATTTCCTTCTCTCTCTCTCAAAGATGAAAGCTTTAAGTACTGTTTTTCTGATGAGGGCGGTTTTTAGGAGTCTCATTTTCTCTATATCTTTTAATAATTTTTGGAACAGTTTTTTAACCCAACCTATATTCCTGTGAATTTCCATTTCTTATTCAAGTAGATTACCTTAGATCTGATCTCCTCAGATATATGTCCTGACAAATGAATAACTTGTACTTAATGGCTGTTATAATAAAGACTGGTCTCTTATGGTCTTTTGCACAGTCCTGTACGTCATTAGAGTAAATCCGTAGAGAATGCTTAATGTATAGCATGCCATTATTTTAAAACGAATTGATGATACTAATGTATAAAAAAGCAATGCATGCATTTGTGCATTTATTTGTTTGTTTTTTCATATAGTATTTGTAGAGGAGAGGATTGGAAGTACCTCCATCATTGAAGCGCAGTATTGCTGTGTGCAGTGTGCTGTGGTGGAGCTAACAGCAGTCACTCCTGCTGCTGGTTGAGTTGAGGAATGAGTTGAAGTGGATAATGAGGAAGGTGGAGATCAGCTCAAATGTAAACAGCAAAAAAAAAAGAAAGGCCTTTGCTGCTTTGAGCCACCAAAGGGGAGGCTGGGGGGATTTATACCACTGTGTGTTGCAAGCCCCCTTTGACAACTTCATACAGCCAAAGAACTTATCATACCTCAATGTTGAAGTCCATAAAGTAAAGTGCTGGTGTGAGGCCTGTGCCAGAGTCCACTTGTGTGGGTGCTAACACCGCCTGCTTTATTTCCTCTCGTTCTTTTTCCATTACTGCAGCTTTTCATCCCGCTGCTGTTCACTGAGTAGGGTTTCATTAAATCAACATGTGGGTGAACAAGCCTGGAGGGAGCCTTTAACACACCTTCAGCCTCGCCGGATTTATAGCCTATATTCCTTCTCCCTTTCCCTCGCTCTTTTCTGCATTCTCTCTCTGTCTCTCTATCTTTCTCTCATTCTCTCTCTTTTTGCCTTGCTCATGCCCTTATTTCACCTGTCCCCACTTTCTGTGTGTACTTTTTTAGCTCCCTCTCTTCTGTATATATGTATTTAAGCAAAATAGAATCCACAGGTTTTGCTAAATTAGCGGCCAGTGTTTAGTCACAATTATATGCTGCCTGTCAAAAGTTTGGGGGCATCTACCTTAAGAAATGTTTATAATATAAATGAGCATGTTTTCTTTGCTAGTTTGCTATAATGTATCATATTAATGAAGAAAAACTCCAAAGTTGAAGAGAAAAGCTGAGAAAAGCTCTACCTTGGGAATAATAACAAAGGTCATACATTTCACCTTGTTGTGATGTCAGCATTTCAGTAGCCCATATTCATCAGTTGCGTTAAAAGGACTGCAGATTTGACCACTTTTAATGATGTACAAACTACTCCGTGTCTGATTCATGAAACATTTGTTGTGGAAACAAGCAGAGATTTGAGCGCAAATGAATCAGCTTCAGTGCGTGAAATCAAGCGCCAGCCTAGCGGTACCTCATTGGCATGTCATTGAAGTGAAGCACGCCCTAATTCATGCAGATGTTTCAGCAGGGAGCCAATAAAACAATCGCATTCAGTGGCTTGTGAGCCAATGAATGTTCTTGTAGGCAGAGGTTGATCAATGAGTGCATTGCTCCCCCTACTGACCAAACTTTATAGTGTTAAAATTACGATGATTGAAAACAATAAAATATGAAATAAACAAAACGTCTTAGTTTTTTAAGACTGTGGAATGATGTGATTTGTGTAGTGTGATTGTTTTTGCTTAAATAACAAATTCAGATGCTGTATTATTGCAGTGTATGAGATGCATCTACACTAGCTGTGTTTGTATTGTTTATTTTTTTGGTGGTGTCAGCAGTATACAACAAAAAACAGTGTAATGTCATGGAACAGTTGCACCTTTTGTTTATACCAGGGTGCATGTAAAACAAGTACATCCACTTTTGTACTGGATGACCATGAATTATTATTATTGTTGTTATTATTATTATTATTATTATTATTATTATTTATTTTATATATGCATCTTGTTTGGAAAAGTAAAATGCAAAATCATTATTTAAGCTAAATTTGCTCTTCATACCAATGAAGACACTTTTAAAGCTGAGTGTTGAAGCTAAATAGCCAGTATTTAGCAAACAACTGCTGCTAACAAAACCTTTTTCCTTGAAAAGTAAAACTAAAAATCAAACCTTGGAAAATTTCAAAGGAAGTCAAGGTATCCCAAAACATCTTTTGGCTTTATAACCAAAAAAGCTACATGTTGTGCAATACTTGAGTTTCTAACTCAAGTATAATTCATTAGTGCTGCACGGTGGCAGCTTTGCACATTTCTACCTGTATATTAAGCTACATTGTTTAGCAATTTTTGCATGTAATGCTTAGATTATTTTCTCTCTCTCACTCTCTCTCTCAGAGCGCACAATAGCCAGACATGAGGTGCGTGAGGTGGAGCAGAGACAGACACACGACGTGGTCAAAGACTGGCCAGCACTGGCTGAGAGTGATGATCAGGTCATCATCTACAACCGTGTACCCAAAACGGCCAGCACATCCTTCACCAACATCGCCTATGATTTGTGCGGAAAGAACCGCTTCCATGTCCTACACATCAACACCACCAAGAACAACCCCGTCATGTCTCTGCAGGACCAGGTGAGGAGAGAAGTGCTGCCCATGGTGCCTTGTTCAGTAAGCATCTTAAAGATGCTATGCTGGCTATGTTAGGAAAAGAAGCATGACTGTCTAAAAATATCACAGTATATTATTGTCAAAAAATCAGGATTAACGATTATATTGCCACCTGTGTGACCTGTAGGTGCATTCATGAGATCCTGCTGTTCTGGGTTTCCTTTCATTGATGCACACAAAGCTGCTTGAGCACTAATTGATCTACCTTGTGGAGGTTATTCAGACTGCTAAGTGAGATACATATCAAGCCATGTCCATTAAGTGCTTCAGGAAGAAAAATAGACATTGTGCATCATAATGGCAGAAGCTGTCTGGAATTCAGCTACAGATAAGTGTACAAAAACAATTTTATATTTTTTTATTATATAATTACCTCAGCTTATTGGCTTATTAGTGCCCTCTAACAATTTGATGTTTTAACAGTCCTTGATCAATAACAATGATAGAGAATAAAACATTATGGGTTGGTTTTCTGGGCATGGATTAAGCCTAGTCTAGAACTAAATTGGAACGTCAATGTTAACCTACAATTGAAAAGCTTTTTTAGTCCAAGCTTGTGTTCAGTCTGAGGAACCAGCTCTACATGTATGATCCAGCATTATTTGCAAGCTGTTTAAAATGAAATCTAATCAGGTTTGACTCTCGCTAGTTCTGGCAGCCAAGAAGTGAATGAGTCGGCTCTCAAGTCTCTGAAGTGCGAGGCAGTCGAGTCGCAAGTGTTCAGTAGAGAATTTCAGTACTGTTATTATCTGCACCTGTGAGGTTCGACATGGATTTAAATAACAAGCCTTTCATCACAGAAAAACTTTCAGTCTGAAGGACAGAACTGAAGCACTACACACAGTGTCTATGGTGGTTTAACTGAATTGGCAGAGCAACTTGAAATGGTTGGTTAGTCTGTAAGTATATTGGCTAGCTAGCGTAGTTAATCCACCTAAAGTTTTAAAGGAATATGATTTGTAATTTACTAAAACTGTGGGTAGATTAGCTGACAACTAATGCTAATTTTCTTTAAACGCTCCATTTACTTTGTGTAGTGCTTTGTTCTGTCCATCAGACTGAATGCTTTCCTATAATGAAAGTCTTGTTATTTGAAGCCGCATTGAACCTGATGCTGCTGCGAGCTGTGAGGAGCACAGCATTATAGCAATTACTACTTTTCCTGATTTCTGCCTCCAGGCCGTGGTCGTGGTAACTAGAGGAGCTTTTCATTTTACTAGCTCCAGGGCTTTCATGTCACTCTGGGGGAAAATCCACAGTTTCCCTTTTCCAAAAGGATGAGCTGGACTGGAATGTCGGTGAAGCACTTGGTATTTATTGCAGATTACTTATAAAACAAAGAAAAACAAAAAAATACAAAACTAGAGTACAGATGAGAAAAAGTAAAAGAGAGCATTTTGCATTGCAGCTGTGACTACGGTCGCCAAAGTAATAACATAAAGTAATAACAAATTCACTACATTGCCCATAATGCAGTGCCCTCAAACCCCAGCACTGCACATTACTGTAGTAAAACTGTAGTAAAACTTTTCCTATGGCTTAAATTTCACAAGTCTTAAGTCTCAAATCTGAGTTGAGTCATGAGTAAGCTTGAGCTTGTGAGTAGAGAGGCAGGTCCGAGTCACTGACTCTAGTCCTCATCTCTGCTGTCATTTCGCTTTCCCAACTATTGGTTATGAGGACCACTGTTAAGATACTTCAGCTTATTGCTTGGGTTTACATACACTATATTGCCAAAAGTATTCGCTCGTCTGCCTTTACACACATAAGAACTTGAGTGACATCCCATTCTTAATCCATAGGGTTTAATATGATGTCGGCCCACCCTTTGGAGCTATAACAGCTTTAACCCTTCTGGGAAGGTTTTCCACAAGGCTTAGGTTTAACCTAAAGTGTGTGTTTATGGGAATTTTTGACCATTCTCCCAGAAGCGCATTTGTGAGGTCAGACACTGATATTGGAGGAGAAGGCCTGGCTCGCAGTCTCCGCTCTAATTCACCCCAAAGGTGTTCTGGGGTTGAGGTCAGGACTCAGGCCAGTCAAGTTCTTCCACACCAAACTCGCTCATCCATGTCTTTATGGACCTTACTTTGTGCACTGGTGCGCAGTCATGTTGGAACAGGAGGGGGCCATCCCCAAACTGTTCCCACAAAGTTGGGAGTATGAAATTGTCCAAAATCTCTTGGGCTTGGAAGCATTAAGAGTTCCTTTCACTGGAACTAAGGGGCCGAGCCCAACTCCTGAAAAACAACCCCACGGCCATGGAAACCCATTTCATGAAGCTCTCTATGCTATTCTTGAGCTAATCTGAAGGCCACATTAAGTTTGGAGGTCTGTAGCGATTGGCTCTGCAGAAAGTTGCCGACCTCTGCGCACTATGCGCCTCAGCATCCGCTGTCATTTTACGTGGCCTACCACTTCGTGGCTGAGTTGCTGTCGTTCCCAATCGCTTCCACTTTGTTATAATACCACTGACAGTTGACTGTGGAATATTTAGTAGCGAGGAAATTTCACGACTGGACTTGTTGCACAGGTGACATCCTGTCACGGTACCATGCTGGAATTCACTGAGCTCCTGAGAGCGACCCATTCTTTCACTAATGTTTGTAGAAGCAGTCTGCATGTCTAGGTGCTTGGTTTTATACACCTGTGGCCATGGAAGTGATTGGAACACCTGAATTCAATGATATGGATGGGTGAGTGAATACTTTTGGCAATATAGTGTACATACAATGGATACAAAGTCCAGAAGCACTGAAGTCTCAGTGACAATGCACATGGGCTCACTTGCTTATTTTTGTGCTTTATGCATTCCTGCGCACTGAGTTACAAAATAGGGCATCCATTTTTAAATGTGCTTAGACCTGATATTAATAAGAAACAAATGTCCAAATTTAGCATCGGTCCTGCTTCTCCAAAGGTGCTGATGTATCACTTTCACAAATACAGGAGAGTGGAGTTCTTCTTTAACTGTAACTTTCCAATAAAATAAAAGGTACATTTACTGATGAATACTGTGACTCACTCAAATGGAGTCATAAAATACAGTACATTCACCTGAATGCAGCATGTGTACCCCAAATATAGTCCATCAGCCAAAACATATTCAGTGTCTGAAATTTGCTTCTTTAGTTTTGCAATGTAGCTATGAGGCTAATGTAGTAATGGAAACTTATAGTCTATGGATTAACACTGTGCAAACTGCAAGTCTAAATTATCTCACTCTTTCCTTAAACTGCAATGAGCTGTTAACCCTTTAATGCCAAAAAATGCCATTTTATGTGCTTTTTGTGTTAATAACGCATTTTCTGAATGTTGTTAGTTTGTTTGTTTGGTATATAAAGAACATGACCTAAGAAAGCTAAAAAATTGTAATTATTCTGTGACACCAACTAGTTTTTGAACAAGAAAACACATGAACAGGAATACAAGTCAAACATCAGTCACAGTTTATTGGTAATTCGCATGAACAAAATGATGTTTACTGATCCCAAATGAATGAGCTTACATGCTGGGGGGAAAAAAACTGTGCGTTCAACAAGACAGGAGGCATATTGTATATTTTATATATAATGATAAACATGGTAGCACCCAGAAAGCTCTGTTTCTGCATGCTAAAAATGATAAAATGATTTTACTGTCAGCAAAAGTTAAGGGCTTGCAGCATAACACCTCTGGTGGGACATTTAAATCCCATCCTACCAGTCTTGTAGGGTATGTGTGGATAAGTAACTTCAAACAGACTTGCCTATGGATTATCTTACACTGTACTGACACTTATGTGGTATCTGACACTGTACTGTCATCTATAAAAATGGACAAAAGAAATGTTGTTCATACTTTTTTCAATTTTTTAAGCTAACAGTACATCATGCAGTGTCAGATAACACATAAGCAAGTCTATGTGAGATTACTTAAAAGCTGGACACAGTCTGGGCCAAGTGTGATGATTCAGGCATGCAGTTTGCACAATGTTAACTGGTGTACATGATTTTTCATTGCTTGTTAGCTGCATTAGCCTTGTAGCTTCCATGCAAAACTAAAGAAGCAAATCTCAGATGCCGAACTTGTCTTTGCTGATGTGCTACATTTGGGGCAAGGAAGTAAAACTGTGAAAATTTACCTTGTTTTATAGCAGGAGAGGAGAGGGAGGTGCAGTGAACCCTGTGTTTATGCCTTGCTCACTCTAACAATCTCCCTCATCTCTGGTTCTCCACCTGTTATTCATAATCCTCCATCAGTGCTGGTCCAGCCAGTGGTGGAGAGCTGTGTTTAACAAAGAGGGAAAGAAAGAGGGGAGCAGGAAAGGTGGCAGTTTGGTTAGAGGGGAATTGAAAGGCATCAGCAGTGGCAGGTTGCCGAGCTGATGGCAGCAGACAGATGCCATTTTCTGCTGCCCATTTAAAATCGTTTGTGAACATGGTGGGAAATGGTTTAACATGAAAAGCCTTGGTGGATTCTGCTCATGGATGAGCGAAGGGAAAAAAGTAATAGTGGAGCCATTATTGTTTTGTTTTGTTTTTTTCACTGCTGTCTTCAAATAGGCCTTTTTCACAGCTGTGTTCAAATCACCTGTATGCCGCCCAGGGTGGCGGCAGTGGCGGGCCAGAAAGTACCACAGGACACTGCCGTGTGTGTCCGCATGCGTGTCCTGTTTGTGTGTGTCTGTTTGTATCTGTGTGCGAGTGTGTTTGTGTCTGCTGGCATTTGTATTCGTGTCACTGACATCCCGTACATGGAGAATAAATGCCTCTGAGCGAGTGGAGGCAGGTGTTGTTTGTGCGGTTCTTTGCTCAGGTAATATCTGCTCCAGTGTCTCTCTGCCACACAAATGCAAACCTGCCTGTTTCTCCCTGAAGAGCGCTGCCAGAGGCCGGGGGCACAAGGTGTTCAGGAGTGGTGTCGTTGACAATAATGGTTCAGTGTGTTAGGTTTCTTTTAGAGACCTGTACAGACAACCTATCGCTTTGTCTTTATTACTGCAGCCAGAGTGGATGTTCTATATTCTGCTGCGCACGGCTGAGTGGGATATTATTGTGCAATTGTTAGATACAAAATAACTCCTAGACTCCAGCTGCACAACATGGACACTAGTATACTAGTATTGCAATCATATTGCTACATTGCAATGTCTTGTCAGCACATTAAAAATGCATTGGTGATTCAATAATGTGACATGAGTGAAGAAAGGCGTGTATTATTTTGACCAAAATAATGTACCTTTGCTGCATTGTATGAATACCTTGATTTACTAAAACACCCTTGGAAATGCTCATCTGTAGCTGTGCTTGGTCAAAATGCTCACATCACACAATAAAAGAATGATATAATTTGTTAGAGGGCTCACTTGTATATCACAGATGTCAATCTGGCCAATATCATGATGATTAATAATGTGTTGTGCAACACTATTATAAACGTTACTGGCAAGTCACTTGCTCACTGTGTCCTAAAAGACTGTAGTTTAACTGAACTGCTGTGAGGTCAGAGATTTACACTGCTGCTGTATTGTATATGGTTTTTGTGCGTATGCTATTTTTGTATCGACTTATTTGTGCATTTTCCAGGTGAGGTTTGTGAAGAATGTGACGACCTGGAAGGAGATGAAGCCAGGCTTTTACCATGGCCATGTAGCCTATCTGGACTTCTCCAAGTGAGTATCTACAGTTCCCACTACTGCTCTGTTACTTACATTATATGTCCAAAAATATCCAGACATCTTTACTAATTAGTGAGTTCAGCTACTTTAAGGTGCACCCACTGCTGACACAGGCGTTCACTTGCACATGCACAGCTTGTATAATCTCTATCGAAAAGCATTACGAATTGAATAGGATGCTCTGGAGCCGCTGCGCAAGAACCTAAGATCACCATTCCCAAATCAAATGGCAACTAGAGGAGTATAAAGCCCCCAGCGTTGTGTTGTAGAGCAGTGGAACTGTGTTCTCTGGAGTGATGGAACATCATCTAATACCTTTAGGATGAGTTGGAGTGGCGTTTGAGATCCAGAACTGAACATTCAACATCAGTAGCTGACCTCACTAAAGCTCTTGGGGCTGAATGCAACGAATTCCTCACACCAATGTTCCGACATCTAGAGCCTTCCCAGAAGAGTAGAGGCTGTTTCTGCAGCAAAGGGGGACAAACTCTATTAATACCTTTGAAGAAACATCAGATAAGCAAGTGTCTAGAAACTTTGACATATAGGACCAGTTTCGCAGGTCCAGATTAAGCCTAAGCATGGAGTTCAAAGGATTTCCACTGGTCATTTGCCATTAGCCCTGAAATTAAGTCCAAGATTAGGCATAATCCATGTCCGGGAAACTGGCCCATGGCATATTTTGTAGCATCACACAAAGAGGCAGAAAGACCTCTGTTCACTTAGTCATCATCAATCTGCAGCTGTTTTTGCATAGCATCAGTATGTCAAGCTATAAGAGCAGCACTGACATGGCAGCTCGCTGAAGAGATGAGCTTCGCTTTCAGGAGTGTTGCTGCCCTCTAGTGGTTGAGGAAGATGTTGCAAAAGATCTTTATTTGGCTTTCTGAAAATCTAGGGTGAGCCACCCAAATATCTGCAACACATTTTAAATTGAGCTTATCATTCCATTATGTATTGTGGGTGTACTTGCAGTCATATGCAAAAGTTTTGGCGCCCCTTTTCAAATGACATATTTTGTTGACATGTTAACACATCCTCTACAGCAGTGGTCACCAACCCTGGTCCTAAAGATCTACTTCCCTGCATAGTCTAATTCCAACCACACCTCGTCCAGCAAATTTACTTCTTTACAAGTGTTTACTTAGTTGAATCAGATGCATTGGCTTCAGGTAAAAGTAAGGGGCGTCATGTTAAGTACGGGTTGAAACTAAACCACAGCAAAGTAGTTCTCCAAGACCAGGGTTGGTGACCACTGCTCTACTGCTCTACAGAGAACAAAATTCTGCACATTTTAATGCACAATTACTGTTTATTTGCTGAATTTAACATATTGGGGAAAATAAATAAAACATAAAATTTGAGCTTTGCAAAAGTTATGCCACGTTTTATTTTTTCACTATGTTAAACTCAGCAAATAAATAGAAATTGTGCATTAAAATGTGCAAAAAGGAAGATGGATCAGTTATTTTCAGTTACAAAATCAACAAAACGTAATTTGACTGATGATGTTCGAAAGTTTCCATACAACTTTATATGTTACCCTTTGGTCAAATGCATTATGATAATTGTGATATTAATCTAACTAGCCTATTATGGATAATTGGGTGGTTCCTGACCTCTGACTAACGCTACCTTCAATATCAAAGCAAGTTCATTTTAATTAAAACAACTCGACAAATTTGCACCACATCATCTGCAGCTCAATAGAGGATGTGTTCCTGTTGGTTCCTCTAAGTGTTTCTTCCTCTTGCTCTTAGAGGTTTTGTCTTGCAATGTCTCTGTCAGTGACCCTCATCAGAGGGCTGGACCAGAGTACTGGCAAGCTACTTTGGAACTATGTGTGTTGAAAAAGCACTATATAATACAATTTGATTGCATTTTTTGCATTTGTGTGCATCTAATCCTGTCTGTAAATGTATTCTGTACTGCAGGTTCGGTGTGAGGGGGAAGCCCATCTATGTCAATGTGGTGCGGGACCCCATTGAGCGGCTGGTGTCTTACTACTACTTCCTGCGCTTCGGAGACGACTACAGGCCCGGCCTCAGAAGAAGAAAACAGGGAGACAAGAAGGTGAGATGCCCTGATTGTCTTTGAACTCTGACTTCTGCTTGAAGAAACAAGGTATGCATGTGATCCAGGAGAAATTATTCTGGTTAAAAAAGCAAGTCAGTTTTTAACCATGTGACCTCAATGATTCACTAATGTGTTTGTAATTTACATTGGAATGACTGTATTTAACAATATAAACACAATATGGAATGCGCTCAGTAACATTCAGGTCTGATTAAGGAAGAGAGGAAGTAGTGGCTGACAGTTTCATTCTGGTGCTTCACAGAATGGCTGCACTGGTATGTTCATTTCACAGTCTCAAACCATTGATATTCAGTCTGTGTGTATGAGGCTGTGATGAGGCTGTGATTAAGGCAGAGATAGAAGCTCAAAGTGGAAAAGAAGATTTGTTATTGGCCCCATTTGTATTAGGGCTGCATAATATACCATTTTTCATTGTTGCCATAATATCAGCCTTTGCAACACTGAAATTGCAGGAGGCTGCTATATGCAAATGACCCTCTGACCAATCACTGAATGTTTTTATTGTGCTGTGAGCATCATGACGAAAGCTCAGATGCCCCAGAGGAGTTTTGTGGGGATTTTAATGAATCAAGGAATTTATATGATCCAGTAATAGTGAATAATTTTGGTTATTAAAATGCTGGCCGATCTTAAACATTGTTACATCAAAGTATTTAATATATTGTAAGGTATTGCTGTTGCATTATTTAGCACTCTAATCACAAAGTGATGTGAGGTGTGTTTGTGTTGTGTTTCAGACTTTCGATGAATGTGTGTCGTCGGGGGGATCTGACTGCGCTCCTGAGAAACTCTGGCTGCAGATCCCATTTTTCTGCGGCCATTATTCAGAGTGCTGGTGGGTCATAGTAGCCATTCACCGTATACCTTATTAGATTTCACAGGAAGGTGAAGGGAAAGTGATGGAGTCACACTGCCTGGCAGAAGTTTGGAAACACCAAACTTTTTATATTTTTTAATATTATTTAGTACAATTTAGTTCCATTTGTCCATTTGCAACAACTGAATTTGCAATAGCAGGTTTAATTGGAGGAAAACAATATCACACATGAATATTTGTGACTGCGCTACCTTGGAAATAACACCAAAGCACACACGTTTTATCTACTTGTTGATTTTAGCACCCATCAGCGCTCATACCTTTCAGCTGTTTAAGCTACATTTGGACCAAAAGAGTTTCAAAATGTGCTTTTAACAACAGCTTGGAAAAGGAAAGTGTCAAATCACTATTTAGGCAAAAGCTGCTCTTCACACCAAGAAAGACACTTTCAAGAACATGAAGCTCAGTGTTGAAGCTAAAATGAACACGAAGTTTCAACAAGTAGCTGGTTTATTTCAAAGTATTTTTCCTTGCTTAATTGAAAAGGGAGCACATTAAGTTTTCAATGGAAGGAAAAGTGTCTCCAAATTAATGAAGGTCAGTGTGAGGGACTATATGTCCACGAGTTTGTAAGCACCTGCTCATCCAGCGTTTCTTCTAAAATCAAAGGTATTAATAGGGAGTTTGTTTCAGATTTGATTTAGGGATGTCAATTTTGGCAAATTCTTTTGACTGATAACTGCCCATTATTATTTGGCAAGTAATCATTAACCAACAAGCCTAAAATAAAGGAGGTGACCCACCAAATATCAGCTATAAAACCAAATTCCGAATCCAAAAACTGATTAGCTGAGCCACATTTGAAGCCATTGTAAAGTAGTTGATATATGCACACTAATGAGTGCACACTTCAACTGAATTCTGTATTAATGCACTCAATTCTTTGTATGGACTGTGGAATATAGTACTGATAGATGGGGCCAGGCATTCGCATGTATATTAAGTGGCCCAATATCATATTAAACATACCCAACAAGAACCTTGTTTTGGTTAAACTGTAATATGTTCATAATGAATATCAGCAAAAACTAAAAGGTTGACAAAATGACAGTGAAATGAAAGTTCAGCATTCTAAAGCTCTAAATTTACATGTAGCACTCATCCCTAGCCCCAGTTAAAATGAACATAAGTGCCATGATATGGCAGTGTACCCCAGTAGTTCTTGAAAGCTGATGCCATCCTCCATGTCTATTCAAAAAGGTTGGGTGTTTTTTGGAAATAAATAAAAAAAATAATATGATTTAAATTAAATGAATTGTTTTTTTTTAACCAATAGCGTTGATTGAACAGTTATTTGTTGGTTACCGGTTAGTCAGTGTATCATTTACATCTTTAATTTGATTGCATTCAGCCACAACAGTGTTAGTGAGGCCAGCTTCTGAAGTTGGGTTGTTAGTTCTGGATCACAAAGACCACTCCAACTCATCCCAGAGGTACTGGATGGAGCTCCATCAAACCAGAAAACACAGTTCCACTGCTCCACAACACAATGCTGGGGGGCTTTATACCCCTCTAGCTGATGCTTGGCATTGAGTATGGTGACCTAAAGTAGCTGAACTGACTATTTAGAAAAGGTGTGTGAATACTTCTGGACATTCAGTGTACTTCACCATGGTAAAAGAAGGGCCTATTGAGTATGCCTTCCCCATTTATTGATTCATACCACTAAATGTGTTTGGAATATATATTCAAACGTAATGTGCTAGTGAAAATACACTGTGACTCTGCACTGTACAGTGTGAGCTCATACAGTACAGTTTGATGATGTGTGATTAATGTTAAGTGGTGTTTTTGTGTGTAGGAACGTGGGCAGTCGCTGGGCTCTGGAGCAAGCTAAGTATAACCTGGTGAATGAGTATCTGCTGGTGGGTGTGACGGAGGAGCTGGAGGACTTTATCATGATGCTGGAGGCAGCGCTGCCAAGATTCTTCAGAGGAGCCACTGAACTCTACCGAACAGGTGCTGTGCAAATGGACCCGCACTCAGCCACTGCTTAGACACCATTCAGCCACACCGGTTTTACCTCTATAATGTTATGTGATGTCATACTTTTAAAACAAGTCACAAGCTGCACAGCTTTGTCCAATTATTTAAAACTGTAATTTGCATGGCATGTCTTCATGTACCCTATATGTCTTATGTGATCTACGGTTGTATGCATAAAAGGGTGCCCCTGGTCAAATGACATGTTTTGTTGATTTTCTAAGTGAAAATAAGTTAACACGTCCTCTACAGAGAACACATTTCCGTACACTTTAAAGCACAATTACTGTTTATATCCTGGATTTGACATACTGGTGAAAAAAATAAAACATAATGCCTGTGCAACATTTTGTATTTAATGTTTTATTTTTTACCAGTACGTTAATCTCAACAAAAAGTAGAAATTGTGCACTAAAACATGCAAAAAAGCTGTATTTAAGTGTGTTAAGTTAATTGTGTTAATTTAAAATCAACAGAACATATCATTTGACCAAGGGCATACAACTGTATATTCTTTGTATCTTAAGTGTTGTTTTGTTCTGCATCAAGAAAACTATTGTGTGTGTATGTATGTATGTGTTTGTGCGTATATGTATATACACACAACGATCAGGCATAACATTATGACCACCTCCTTGTTTCTACACTCATTGTCAGTTTTATCAGCTCCACTTACTATATAGGTGCACTTCTACAATTACAGTTCTACAATTACAGACTGTAGTCCATCTGTCTCTCTGCATACTTTGTTAGCCCCCTTTTACCCTGTTCTTCAGTGGTCAGGACCCCCATGGACCCTCACAGAGCAGGTACTATTTGGGTGGTATTTTGAGCTGTGACAGTAAGAGAACTGGCACATTTTCTCTTTAGCAACCCGTTCACCGTGCAGTTGTATGCCTGAAACAAATGTATCAGAATCAGAGTACTTGCTCAAACCAGGTCAAGGGGAACAGCACAGAGGTTTCTAAATTGCTGCATAACTCTATCATTATGATGTAAACAAAGTCATTCAGAATGGTTTGATGTGAAAGGGTTCATTTTAGAGAAATTTACTGACTCAGATTTCTTAACATTGGTGGTGATGGGAACCAGGGGTCATGATGTCTACAACACAAATATAGCCATTTTATTTACTATCGAAAAATTACAGGTGAATCTATGCATGTCTTCTGAATTTTATATGTAATATTGATAATGGCCAAATAGTGGTCTGAAAAATAAAGTTTTCTTTAGGCACTCTTTTTGGCTTAGAACACTGTGGAACCTTGCCACCAAAAAAATAAAAAGTAGGCCCAAACTTTCAGACCTCAGGCAGTGTATCTGTAAACATGTCATGTGATGTCTTTCTGTAAGGGAGCTTTTAAAGGCATTTAACTCCTTAGATGTCTGGTTCCTATCTCCACCACTGTGAACAGTTCCGACTTGGCAAATTTCTTTAGAACATTCTCTAGGGCATTTCACATCAAATAACTTTGGAAGACTTTACATTTTAATCATTTAATTATGCAGAACTTAAAAAAAAATCAGTGGAATTCCCCTTAAAGTCAGTGTTAAATACAATTTATTTATTATTATTATTTTTTTTAATGTTCTTAAACGTTCTATTAATCAACTCGTAACAAAACAAAGCACAGTAAAGTCTGCAAAAATTGATCTCTACAGGTTCAGGTTGGGTCCTGGGTAAGGGCTTTAATTTCAAGGCTGTGCAGACCTAATATTGCAGTCTGTCAGAGTGACTGCATTGAGAAGTGAACATTATAGAGCATTATAAAGCTTTTTTCTTTAAGTAAACAATGCACTGACAGTAAAATCAACATGAATCTGTGTGTTGTGTCTCACAGGTAAGAAGTCCCATCTGAGGAAGACGAGCGAGAAGAAGCCTCCCACTAAAGAGTCCATCACCAAGCTGCAGCAGTCGGACATATGGAAGATGGAGAACGAGTTTTATGAGTTCGCTCTGGAGCAGTTCCAGTTCGTCCGAGCTCACGGCGTCCGGGAAAAGGACGGAGAACTGTACGTGCTGGCTCAGAACTTCTTTTATGAGAAGATCTACCCAAAGGTGAACTGAAGTCGGCATTCACAAGGACAGCTGAGAGCACAGCTCCCTGAAGTGTGCTCTTTGCCCTTTGGCCTCTGTATTTTCTGTCTTACACACTGGGAAGAGAGGAGAATGACTCGAGGAGAACCTGCAGTGTGGGACTGTAAACGTGTAGAGGCCAGCTGTGCCGAGAGAAAAGCTCAATGATGTGTGAATAGAAGCCCGTTTAGAGCCTCTGGGGTGGTTGGTTTTGACCTGTTCTGTCTCAATATAGCAGCTGCCTACTGTATATACGAGATAGAGGGGTTTAAGATGTCCCCTGATTTAAGCTTGCATTGGGCCCTAAGGAGCACATTGACTCCCTACAGTGATGACTACAGGAACTCAGTTAGTTTTCTTTCTGACTTTGACAGCTGGGACAACTTTATCACACATTTAAATAAAGTTAACTGTTAAAATGACGTATTTCACAATTTCAAAACAACAGATAGGACACATTATGAGTTATAATTTTGAAAGGGAAGCAACAGGGTGAAAAAGGGGACTACTTTTTTGTACCAGAAAGCGGTGCATTAAAAGCACCTTTTCATTTTACTACAGTGTTGTTCTTGAGCGTTCTTAGCTTTTTTTCTTCTGCATTGTGCATATTTGTTTTCTTTTTTATGATAGGATGCCATGTACAGTGTTTACAGACTTTAGTAAAGAAAAAAACAAAGTATTATAGCTCAGATGAAAAATGGTCAAATAGAATTCAGATGTACATATTGTATTTACACAAACCTATTTTATGTAATCAGACCAAATGGTTATAAGGTGATCAAAATCGTAGAAGTTGACCGTTAGCATTAGCGTGTACAGACACTAAAGTTTGTATCTTTCAGTAAAAAAAGAAAACATTTCAGAAGTATTGCCTTTGGCATTCATATATTTGTAGGTTTTTTTTTTGTTGGTTTGTTTTTCATTATGGTTGTAAGGCGGAATATTCCACTGGACCACTAAGGTGAATATCATCCAATACAATCCAGTGAGATTCCTCTTAATGTAGGACACTGAGACACAACTGCCTTTACTCTTATGGCAAGGAGCTCATGGATACTAGGAGTGTAGGAGGAGATCTGCTGGACTACTGATAATGTTCATGCTAATGTGATTTTGGAAACCCAGGCCATGGATGGTGATTTTGTTGGCTCCTTCACTGAAAAATCTACCATTTCTCAGTGGTTTTGGATGGACTGTATTTGTCCCTTCTGTAAGCCTCTAAATGAGGACCCTGGAAAAGGAGATTGTGATGTCATTGACAGAATCTACTGGAATAGCCATCGGAATTCATCTGGAATCGTCTGTCTCCCTGTATGTGACATGCACACTCAACTCCACATCAGCTCCACACTCAATAGTGCCTTCATAGCCGAACATTCAACATTCGTTATCCAAATGGTGCAAAACGTCTGACTTTTCTAGTCTGTTTTTCAGCTGCCAGCTTTCTTTTCGGTTGTTATTGGTTATTGTCCCACTTGTTTTCTTGGTCCAAATGGTCTTTAATGCATTTCAAATAAATGTTGAAATGTCATTGATGTGATGTCTGTGAATATCTTTCTTATTTGCTTTTTGTACACTGCCCAAAACAACTCTAAACAACCACCAAGGTTGGGAAATTAATACTTAGACAAATTGACAAATGAAACTGAATGCATATTTTTGTCAATTTTCTACATCCTGTGAAGGTTAGAAGCCTAAGCATGCACTGTATATCTGTCTCTCCTGTAAACGTGTATGGTAAAATTACCCTTCTTTTGACATTCAGTACTACTCAGGTTAAACCAGAAAACTCTGGAGTACACAAAAGGATGAGTTAAGACATTTTTGCAAATTTTAATGAAATAAGAGAATTACTACATCACTTGCAGAGTTTAAATACAGCAAGCATGATGATTAGATTAAGTGAAATAAATCAAAAATATATATAATCTTTTACAGAAATTATCAAGCCTTCTCTGAAGACTTAGAAGGCCCTACGGGTACACCCACTGCATTTTTGCAGTTTGCTTCTTTAGTTTTACTCTGTGCATAACAAGGAATGAAAGCTTACAGCTCATCAGTTAGCACGGTGCTAGCTTGCAATTAAAGTGGTTACTAACACTGTATGATTGCACCAACCCTAGTAACGGTATATCATAGCGTTATCTGCACCAATACTGGCACTTAAACTCAGGTTCGATAGGTTAGTGATACCACAAAGCAATTTCTGAAGCACATGTACGCTACTGAGTGACACAGTAGATGGAACTTAACATGTCAGTGGTGTGGTTTAATAACCAGCAGTAAAAATGCTCATGGCAAAATCTGTAATGCCAGTATTTTGTGGGAAGGCAATGGTACTGGGAAATATACCAGTTGGAATTCTTCCTAAGGTATTTGTTTCACTAGTATGCCACAAATAAGCCAGATAACAATATACAAATGGTGTATTTTATTGCTCTGTTTAGTAAGTTACAGTCAGAGTTAATATTAGTCAAGGTTGTTATTGAGGGATCGAATGCTGGAGAGGTATTTGGCAGGAGCCACTGGTCTCTTGGGGTAATGATAGCCGTTAGGTATGGTTTAGCTTTTAGCATAGCCCCATCTGCAGTGCACCTCCATCGGTCAGCTGCATTACACAGTGTTGTGTTGTGATTGTATTAATGATTGCAGAGTCTGACGCCCGTTGATGTATGCGTGAGTGAATGAGACACGCATATGAGACAAATCATTTGAGAAATAGATGCATGAAAAAACACTTGGCACCATTTTTACTGAGCCAGTGAAGCTGCTGCATGATTTATGTGTACACACCACAGGTTTAGCTATAGAAGTACAAACAAAGATGACAGCCACTACTGTTTTTAGCTATGTGAAGTAGTCCTTGTCTGTTTAGATAACAGTATGTCATACAGTGTCAGAACCCAGAGAAGCAAATCTATTTGAGATTACTTAACAACTAGACGCAGTTTGAGGCTAAATGGTTGGGTTTAAGCTTTCATTGTTTGTTAGCTACTTTAGCCTCATAGTTAACGTAATAAGCAAACTTCTGACACAAATGTTAATTGAAAAAGGGAAATTGTGCAAATTAGATTTTTTGCCAAACTATCCTTTAAAGAGACAGATGCAAATAAATAAAGCAGGATGGTAAATCTTTCTAACAGGGCTGTGAGGTTTACTGTGGGTGGGACAAAGCGTTCGGCCTTGTATTCTAGACTGTGAGTGAAGGAGGAGTGGAGTGAAGGCAGAGTTGCTGCTCTGTTGCCTTGCTGGAGTTCACTGACGGTTATAAATTGTGTCGGATGACAGATGTCTGTTGGCTGATGCTGGCTGTAAATATAAGCTGACATTTTAAAGCCTCCTCAACTAAACAGCCATATTGTAACCATCGAGAAGTGGCCTTTCAGACTAATGGACAACACAGGGGACGAGAGAATGTCTAAGCCATGAGGAGACAGGTTCAAGACCTCAGTTTGTATGCTATATTTATTTATAAGACTATGATTCATTCTACTGGAAGCTGTAATGCTGTTTCAGATGAACAAGCCAGGTTAACACTCAAATATTTGAGTACTGATCTATGGTTAGTTTTTTGACTTTCAGATTAAAACAAATACAAGAGAGTGGCTGATCTTAGACCAGCATGCTGAGGCACTTCAAAACCGCCATATTTTCTCTTCACTATATTACATACTGAAGCATTTCCACCAGTTTTAAAGCAGCCATATCAAAAGGGTTTTGTGTGCTGTGCAAGTTTAAAAAAAATTTGATCTCTAGATATAGAGACAAAACAGATCATTTTGAATGCATCAAATTGTGATTATTACCAATATGAATATACGGGGGGCTCTAATAAACTTGCTGTCTGTAGGGAAAATAGACGATCAAATACAAATTCAGGCAAAGGTCATTGTTTATCCTGCATTAGCAGCCTCAGGGTGGTGTTGTTGCACATTGGTTTACCCAGTTGGTCCTTCATAGCCTAGCAACTGTGATATCTGAGATATCTCTGAAAAACATTAGAATATGCCACAGCATATGTTTAAATCTGAAAGTTTGCTCAGTTTTCCAAGATAATTGTGAAAAGAGTGAATTGTTACTCATTTCTCAAACTGAAGACAAAAGATCTCTATTAATGTGTGGAAAACAGCATTTCCCTATGAAGAGTTTGTGAACCAAACATTTTGTTGCCATTGAAGCTAGCATCAGCGCAGCTATGGCAAGTGAGATAACAGCTACCTGAAGCTAGGGTAGCCATCCAACATGGGACCCGCACAAATATCAGGGGGTATTTTGGACTCTGTTTACATTTGTCCTCCCATTTATGTTGAAGTGATAAGGAGTGTCGTTACTGCATTTATTGGAGTGGAAGACGTGAGGAAAATGATTAAACATTGTGCTGTTCCTTCTAGTCGGGAAAGAAATGGATCGTTACAACTTTCCAAAGGAGCAAGACAATAGAGAGAAGTTGCAATACATATTTTTGTCTGACTTCCATGAGTATTTTGAGTCCAAAAGGAACAGTTTGTTCCACATTTCAGTCCAGACTACTTTGGTATGGCATAATAAATGTCAGCCAAGCTGAAGAGAACAGAACATTGGTCTTAAAAGCCCAATAATAAAAAACAGCACATTTGAATTTCGTTCATGTAAACCTGTCAACTTAATCCTATTAGAAATCTTGAAGTGAGTGATGGAAAACCTGCCCCAGGTTAACCCTCTCACCACAGATGAGTCCAATTTGGGCTGCGATGATGCTGCATAGTGCACCAGAATTTTGTGAAACCTTGTGAGATTAAGACAGCTATGTTTCTAATACATAAAACCACACAAATATTATAAGCTGACTTCAAACGCAAGAAAAATGTTGAATGGCCTCTTTAAAAGTTCTTCTGTGGTTTTTAACTAAATGAGTTCAGGGTTCGGGGCACCTTATATTGTGCAGTATTCTCTATTTCCCAACAGAGACTGCATTTTCATATTTAATAGAAGAGGGCAAATGTCAAGGAGATGCACAAAAGCAAATCCAGTGTCAGAGACTGTAGCTCATGCTGGTTTAAAGGAGGGGAGGGTGAGAAGGCATGTCCCCTAAGACCAGCGCACTACACGGCACCAGAGACCACTGGGACGGCCTTGGAGCTGCAGCCAATCAGACACTCCAGGACGGTGGCCACAAGGAGAAAACGCCCGTCTCAGAAAATAGAACTCAGTTAACTTTTTTCCCTTTTTTTAGCTGCGGGCATATTGGAGCATTGTTTCATTAACCAGATGATTACAGGCTGATAATTACTACTCCTCGATTAAAACGAGCCTGCACCCTGTATTGATTGTGACTGATGAGCTTGAAGGTTAATTGGGAGCAGAAAATTCCACAGCATCAGCCTCATCATTCTGCTGTTTTCTGCTGCTGTTTGTATTTAGTTTCAGTGGCACTGCCAATAAAACAATTTTTTTATTATTATTTTTTAAAGAAAGCTTTGATTTCTTGCATTGATATTGCAGCAAGGCTCAAACAATGACATCTCACTTGGGAAGCTTTTAAACCTTCATGCTTCAGTAGATCATTGAATCTTTTTAAGGTCACAGAAATCTTAGAGCTTTGTTCTCTTACTTGCCTTTGTCCTACAAATCCATACCTTCTATGGCCTCATCCTACAGTATATTAAACGAATCAGATAACATATTCAGGTAAACATGTTCAAACCTGTCTTTTCACCCTTTGCTTGTGAGTAAATGTAATTGTTTTCCCACTTGCCCCAAATATATTCAATCAGTATGACCCCCTTGTGCAGCAATAACTGCAGCTAAACATTTCTGATAACTATTGATGAGTCCTGCACATTGGCTTAGCGGAGTTTTAGCCCATTTCACCGTACAAAACAGCTTCAACTCTGTTATGTTGGTAGGTTTCCTCCCATGAACTGCTTGCTTCAGGTCCTTCCACAACATTTCTTTAGGATTAACGTCAGGACTTTGCCTTTCCAAAACATTAACTTTATTCTTCTTTAACCATTCTTTGGTAGAACAACTTGTGTGCTTAGGGTTGTTGTCTTGCTGCATGACCCATGTTCTCTTGAGTTTCAGCTCACAGACATATGTCCTGATATTTTCCTTTAGAATTTGCTGGTATAATTCAGTTCATTGTTCCATCAATGATGGCAAGCCGTTCTAGCCCAGGTGCAACAAAACAGGCCCAAACCACGATACTACCACCACCATGTTTCACAGATGGGATAACATTTTATGCTGTAATGCTGTGTTTTCCTTTCTCCAAACATAACGCTTCTCCTTTAAACCAGAAAGATCTATTTTGGTCTCATCCATCCAGAAAACATTGTTCCTATAGCCTTCTGGCTTGTCCATGTGATATTTAACAAACTGCAAATGGGCTGCAATGTTCTTTTCGGAGAGCAATGGCTGACCCAACAACTAGCTTCATGCAAAATGGATGCCTGTGACTTTTCACCATTGTACCCTTTGCCTTTACACTTACATGGGGATAATTCTCTTTATTTCTCTTTTTAGTCAGGCTACTATGCATTTTAATACACATTTGGCATTTTCTCTGCCAGTTATAGTGAAAATTTAACATTTTTAAAAATGAAAAAGAAAAAAATCTTAACTT